CAAGGCTGGCGAGCTCGATGAGCATGCGATGATCGATACTGAACTGAGGACCAACGAGCTGGCCAGCAAATCTTTGTCAGCTATACCTAGCTTGAGGGCTGTTGTAGGAAACCAAACATTGCAAGCGACAAGATACACAACTCGGAGCTATCAATTGTCTGCCGGGCACTTGCCCCTGCGATTACACGCCAACCAAATGGCGAGTACCATGCTTATGCACCACTGTGTGTTTTTGTGAAAAACGAGCGTGTAGTACTACTCTGAGTCCGCCTCAATCCCAGTTACAAATAGAGTTTGCAGTGGCATCAGCGCCCGTTGTGCGGCCCTGCGCCCCACCAGGCTGGTGGCACCACTATCGATAGAAGTATGTCACCCCAGATCGACAATGGCCTTCATATCCCTTTTACTCGAGCCTCATCAAGCCCATTTTCGTACTTTCGTTGGTGGCGTCGCAACAGCTTGTGTTCAATGAAAGCGTTATCCGTTGAAAGATCAGTGGGCAAAGTCTCCCTTCGCATTTTTAACAAAGTTGTTGGTAAATTCAGGGTGGCGCATCGGCGAGAATTATTGTTTGACAAAGGTGTTGGCATTGTGCAACGGTGTCACCACCTCGGCTCTCAGCGATTCTCGGCCAATATGTAGAGATCCGGGAGTTGCATAAGCGCTGCATGTGTCGGCCAAACCCGCTATGGTGCAACCGAACCGATTCCGGGAATTGGTCACATCAGAATCAGCGATCCCCCTATGCAAAACCTAATGGCATCAAACCTCCGCGATAGCCGCACCAGACAAACTCGCTTTTCACGGACACCTGCCAGCGAATGGAATGCACGCGGAAGTGGAGGCGTCAGATGCGTTGAAGCATGCATCTAGCAACCAAGAGCGCGAAGCCGTGTAAGGAACAACTAGCATCTTGGGCAATTTGTCATGGCCCTTGGCCCTCGCAAGGGATGCGGCTGTTTGGCTGAAAATGGCACGCAAATCTCAGCAGTGGCATAGCCGGAGCATGCGCTCCAACACTTGGGAGCAAACACACACTGGTGAAACTTCAGTGAATCAAGAGTCCGTTATGGCTGCTTGCAGCGCCGCACAACGCCATTTTAATCCATGCAACAGTAGGAGTTTGCTGCAGTGCTCGAGCAATGCTTGGGTGAGCACCCTAGCGATCTGAATTCAGGAATCCTGTGTCCAGATCTTTTCAAGTATTCAACTGCTCCGGATGCACAGCAAAACGAAAGAGGAAGACCCAACCGCACATTGCTGGAGGATTCTTGCACATGCCGACGTCGGCATGTACACTGTCGACAGTGTACGTACATTACATGGAGTCAAAAATGCTGCTGAATTATGGCCATCGTGCTGCATTTGCGCGATCAAGGCCAATTTCGGTGCCGTTAGCTTGGAAGTTGATTCGTCGAAACAAAAGCGCGTTCCCTTACTGGAACCATGCTACCATTAAGGGAACTGGGGCCTGGCAAGGGAATCATCATTTGGGTCCATTCAAATTGCGTGATGTCACCTTGTCAGCCAAAAAGAGGGGCTTCTCCCCGCCCAGCTCATCATAAACAGCAACTTTGAGACCAGAACCCGTTACCATGGCAAATTTTTCAGCGTCACTTTTTCTCAGGGTGGTGGAATTGGAATGGCAACAGAGCAGCCCCACAGAGGCTGACACAGGCAATTGATCTCGTTTTCAAGCGCTGTGCCACATGCCCTCATGAATATTGAGAGTGGAGCCACAATCGGACAGAAATTTTGACGGATAGGCTTCGCATCCACCTGCACTCCATGGCCCGTTGTGTGAAAGTACAAATGACCAGGCCTGACATGCATGATGGCCTCCAGTGTTGCACCGTGCTCCAAAAGCAATGCGGCGGTGCTGGTGTGGCCGCCCCCCGCCGCCCAAAAGAGGGGCGTCTCACCGTTCTGTGGATCATAGAGAGCTTTTCTCAAAACTAGAGGGCGGGTGTTCAGCAAGCAAGCTTCGAGGTTAGCAATATTGCTAATATTATATTCGCTGACGCTCAGGTTGGCCGTAGTTGGTGGTTGCCCCCCACATCGGGGCGTCCAGCGATTCATGAAAAATCCGTGCACGGGAAACATTCAGATAGTGGTCACGCAAAGCTGTCATTAAAGTTAGTATTTGGTGGGAAAAGTGGAAACTGGAAGCAGGGGCTGCAAGTGAAGATCTTCTTTGATTATATCTGTTCATTGTGCCTCTAGTTTTGGAGGCGAAGTCCTTCATGGCTGGTGTCTTGCAGAAGGGAGTGACAAACGAGCATTCCATTCTCTTTTCCTATGCTTTGATTGCACATTGTTGAAGACACGCGTGCCCGCGAGTACACATGCATCATTCTATTGCATCAAGTGTAGAACCCGGGTAGGAAACAACGTTGCTTATGTGAAATAGGAATCGAATACCAATGTGTTGAAATTCTTATTGAACATCGGTCGAAAATGCATACGTGCATTTTAATCTGCTTCAATTTAATGCATGTGCTAGTCCAACGTATGGCATTTGGGTGTACAGTTATGGAATACAGTGTGCTGAATTTTGTACGCTTGACGTCAAATAGACGCCGAAGGGGAAAGGGTGAGGTGGGATGAGAAAACCAGGTCTAAGGCAGGTGCCATGGACGTTGGGAGACTGCGCATTTCCACTAACTTCAATATCAGCCAAGAAGAGACTATTGCGGTCTTTGCGGTGTGACAAACGATGTTGAAGACATTCCTTCGATGCCCACGAGTTCGTCCATGCGGGGCATGGTGGATTTGGCGTGCACAAGTTATCGGGACGGGGTGACGGGTAGTGTGTAAGATCTACCGGCAGTCCATTGGGGAACAAGCTTTCGCGATCGGCAGCAAATGCTGAACGGCGGTTAGCGACGGACCTTGGTGATCAGTGCCTGGAAGCTGGAGCTCCAATGGGCCGTAAACTGATAGTTGACAGATGAAAGGGCGGGGTTTGTGCACTAGGGAAAAATGGGGGCGATAAGGTTGTGAGCTGATCAGCTCCATGTAATGACGTGGATTGCTTTTGTGGCGTAGTCATGAACACAAGGGCGTGAACGCTAAGATATTATGTAATTGGATTAAATCAGAATAACATATAATGAGGCTGAAATGGTCTTAACATGTGCGACGAAGCCCCTGCACATATCATATGGATGCCTGCAACTGTGGACGTGCCAGGAATGGCGGTTTGGTGATTTGTTGTCGCTGGGAACTGATCTGCGGGAAAGGACGGTGAGCGGCTGGTGTAATACGCCAACGAGGCGTACGGTCTACTGAAAGTGCGGTGGAACACGGAATTTTGCGGATTGGGGACAAATGCTACATATGTAGCACATATACAGCTGTTGATAACGATACATGGTGATCAGCAACGTCCTTAGCTGATCGGAGTTTTGTAATTGCCAGCGGGTGGCAACTTCACAGGCAGAGGGTGGCACGGCGGGGAGTGCGTACTAGGGATAAACGGCTGCGGACAGGGCCGTGAGCTCCCATCGATCCCCATGAACTGCTTATGTGCAGAAGAGGCACTTATGACCACGCACAGCTATCAGCAGCTGCGGCTGAGCCTTGCTTGAAGGCTGTTGAGTAAACAGATCATTGCAGGCGACAGGGGATACTGCTCACAGGTATCAAGTGTCTGCTGGCGATCTACCTCCGCGAATGCACGCAAGCCAAACTGCGGGAGCCCATGTTTGTGTGCTCTACAGGGTGCTTTAGGGACAAACGAGCGTGGAGCATTACCCTGAATCCGTCTGGATTCCAGCTACAAATACACTTTGTGGTGGCATCAGTGGCACCAAGCGGCAACACCATCGTTGGAATGACATCACACCAGGACCGTTGGTGGCCTTCACAACTCCTTTGCCTCGCCCTCGAACGTCATCAATCCCGTCTATCTACGTGCGTTGGAACTATCGCAACACCCTGTGTTGAACGAACGTATTATCCGCTTCAAAGAACTATGGACAGCGCATCCCCTCGAATTGCCAACAGCGTTGTCAAAGGGTGGCACATCTGCGCAAATGGACGTTTGCCAGCGGCGTTGGCATGATGCCAACAGCACCACCAAATGGGCACTAAGCGCTTGTTTTCCAATACGTGGATCTCCGGCGCATTGCATGAGCGCTGCGTTTTCTGCCCCATTCAAAGTGTTATGGTGCACCTGACCGATTGCGGGCTTTCGCTCCACACCATCAGAGTCGATCCGGTTATGCAAAACCGCATCGCAGCACCACGAACACAGCATGAGACTGCTAGTACTTGGCGAACACCAGGCAGCAAATTGAATCCACGTTGAAATGAAACAGTCAGATGCGATTTGGACAAGGCCTCCAGCATCAAAGAGCGTTCAGTCGTGCGAGAACAATAAGCATCTGCACGATTCATGCAGCTTCCAACATCTCGGCCAATTCGCCATGCCCTTTGGACCTCGCAAGGGATGCAGCGTTTCGACCCTCCTAAAACCGGCACACAAGCCTCAGCAGTGGCCCAACAGGGCATGCGCCTCAACACTTAGGAGCAAACACACACTGGTGAGACACACTTCACTGTTTCAAGAGGCCAGCTGTGGCTGCCTCCAATGCCCCACATGACCATTTTAACCCATTCACCTTTGCAAGCCTGTAGCTGTGTGCACACACAAATGTTTGGGTGGGCACCCTTGCGATCTAGTTCCTGGAACCCTGTGCCTAGGTCTTTCAAGATGTTAAAAGTGCCCGCGATAGATGCACTGCAAAACGAGCACGGGAAAGCCCAAACGCATATTGCTGGTAAACGCTAAACAAGCTGGAAGTGTACTTTTCTTACATGGAGTCATAACTCCTGCTGGCGTATGGCATCCTTGCTGCGTTTGCCCAGTTTCGGTGCCATCACTTTGAAAGTCGAAATACAAACACGTTCCCCGACTGGACCCATTCGAGATTTATGGGAACTGGAGCATAGCAACAGAGTCACCATCGGGTTGCATTCCAATTGCATGATGTTACCTTGTCAGCCAGCTCTGAAGATGCACCTTTGTTGAGCAGCAGTTCAGCAGCTCTTGTGTAGCCAAGCGCTGCAGCCTCCATGAGGGGAGTCGTCCCTCCCTGCCCATCAACACAATGTCATACCATGCGGAGAAGCTGCGTTCACTGCAGTCACGTTGCATAGAAGCTGCAAACACAAACAAAGCTACCTGACATGAACAGTGGGTGCTTTTCTTGCCTGGTCAGCTGCATCCAAAGGAGCCCCTTTGTCTGCCAGCAACTCCAAAATCTCCAAAATAGTGCCCTCATCATGGGGTTTTCCACTCAAGAAATCTCTGTATGCGAGTGCGGCTAGCAATGGGGTTTTCCCTTCCTGTATACACAAATACAGGTCAAAAATGCAACGAAGAAAACAATGCACACCATTTACTTCACATGAAGACACAACACTCTGTCAACCAACATAGCCATGTCTGGCAAAAGAGTGAGAAAACACACCTGGAAAAAGTGGGGAACACGCACTGCCAGGCTCCAGGCTCTAGACTGAGGGCCCCCCGCATAACACAGGATGTGTCCAGTGAACTTGCCACAATTTTGTATTGCTGTCCCTACTGGTGCACACAAAGGGGCCTCCAGGTATGCTGGAGAGACTGGTCTGTATCAGATAATACTTCGTATAGGATCCACCTGATGATGGATGGAGTTTGGACAACGGATCCACCTGGGAAAATGAAGGCATGTACAAATGTACCAATGGCCAAACGTTAACACAAATGGCCCGTGAAGTGAAAGCACACAAGACCAGGCTTCACCTGGTTGGTGGCGTCCACTGCTGCATCGTGCTCCAAAAGCAGTGCTGCGGTGCTGTTGTGACCCATCACCGCAGCCCAGAAGAGGGGTGTCGCACCACCCTGCGCATCATGGAAAGCATTCTCCACATCAGAGAGGGTTTGGCAAGAAAGCTTTCAATGTCAGTGTGGGGCTGCAGACTTGGAGCAGCAGCATGCTGGCCCCACAGTGGCCAACACATGCCACAGAGCCCCTTGCCAAACAGGGAAGCACTGTGCCGCATACCCAAATGGGGAAAAGGATGCTTGGGATGGATTTTGAGTCATTCATCCACATGCGCATCGATGGCCCGTGAAGTGAAAGTACACAAGACCAGGCCTCACCTGGTCGGTGGCATCCAGTGTTGCACTGTGCTCCAAAAGCAGTGCTGCGGTGCTGGTTAGGCCTTTCTGTGCAGCCCGAATGAGGGGCGTCGCACCAACCTGCGCATCATGGAAAGCATTCTCCACACCAGAGAGGGTTTGGCAGGAAAGCTTTCAATGTCTGTCAGTGTGTGGCTGCAGACTTGGAGCAATAGCATGCTGGCCCCGCAGTGGCCAACACATGCCACAGAGCCCCTTGCCAAACAGGGAAGCACTGCGCCGAATACCCAAATGGGGAAAAGGATGTGATGAATGGATTTCGAGTCATGCATCCACAAGCGCATCGATGGCCCGTGAAGTGAAAGTACACAAGACCAGGCCTCACCTGGTCGGTGGCATCCACTGTTGCACCGTGCTCCAAAAGCAGTGCCGCGGTGTCGTTGTGGCCATACTGTACAGCCCCAAAGAGGGGCGTCTCACCAACCTGCGCATCATGGAAAGCATTCTCCACACCAGAGAGGGTTTGGCAGGAAAGCTTTCAATGTCAGTCAGTGTGGGGCTGCAGACTTGGAGCAGTAGCATGCTGGCCCCGCAGTGGCCAACACATGCCACAGAACCCCTTGGCAAACAGGGAAGCACTGCGCCGCATACCCAAATGGGGAAAAGGATGTGTTGGACGGATTTCATGCATCCACATGAGCATCGATGGCCCGTGAAGTGAAAGTACAAAAGACCAGGTCTCACCTTTCTGGTGGCATCCACAGCTGCACCGTGCTCCAAAAGCAATGCTGCGGTGCTCTTGTGGCCATTCTGCGCAGCCCCAAAGAGGGGCGTCGCACCACCCTGCGCATCATGGAAAGCATTCTCCACACCAGAGAGGGTTTGGCAGGAAAGCTTTCAATATCAGTCAGTGTGGGGTTGCAGACTTGGAGCAGTACCATGCTGGCCCCGCATTAGCCAACACATGCAACAGACCACCTTGCCAAACAGGGAAGCACTGCGCCGCATACCCAAATGGGCAAAAGAATGTGATGGATGGATTTCATGCATCCACATGAGCATCGATGGCCCACAAAGTGAAAGTACAAAGACCTGGCCTCACCTTGTCGCTGGCATCCACTGTTGCACCATGCTCCAAAAGCAGTTTTGCAGTGCTGGTGTGGCCATACTGTGCAGCCCCAAAGAGGGGCGTCGTACCACGCTGCGCATCATCGAAAGCATTCTCCACACCAGAGAGGGTTTGGCAGGAAAGCTTTCAATGTCAGTCAGTGCGGGGTTGCAGACTTGGAGCAGTAGCATGCTGGGCCCGCAGTGGCCAACACATGCAACAGACCCCCTTGCCAGACAGGGAAGCACTGCGCTGCATACCCAAATGGGGAAAAGGATGTGATGGATGGATTTCATGCATTCACATGCGCATTGATGGCCCGCTAAATGAAAGTACAAAAGACCATGTCTCACCTTGCTGGTGGCATCCACAGTTGCACCATGCTCCAAAAGCAGTGTTGCAGTGCTGTTGTCGCCATTCCATGCTGCCCAAAGAAGGGGCGTCATACCATCCTGCGCATCATGGAAACCATTCTACTGTGCAGCCCCAAAGAGGGGCGTCGTACCACGCTGCGCATCATCGAAAGCATTCTCCACACCAGAGAGGGTTTGGCAGGAAAGCTTTCAATGTCAGTCAGTGTGGGGCGGCAGACTTGGAGCAGTAGCATGCTGGCCCTGCAGTGGCCAACACATGCAACAGCCCCCCTTGCCAAACAGGGAAGCACTGCGCCGCATACCCTAATGGGCAAAAGGATGTGATGGATGGATTTCATGCATCCACATGCGCATCGATGGCCCATGAAGTGAAAGTACAAGAGACCAGGCCTCACCTCCCTGGTGCCATCCACTGTTGCACCGTGCTCCAAAAGCAGTGCTGCAGTGCTTGTGCGGCCATACTGTGCAGCCCACAATAGGGGCGTCGTACCACGCTGCGCATCATAGAAAGCATTCTCCATACCAGAGAGGGTTTGGCAGGAAAGCTTTCAATGTCAGTCAGTGTGGGGCTGCAGACTTGAAGCAGTACCATGCTGGCCCTGCAGTGGCCAACACATGCAACAGCCCCCTTGCCAAACAGGGAAGCACTGCGCTGCATACCCAAGTGGGCAAAAGAATGTGATGGATGGATTTTGAATCATGCATCCGCATGTGCATCGATGGCCGGTGTAGTGAAAGTACATAAGACCGGGTCTGACCTTGCTGTTGGCATCCACTGTTGCACCGTGCTCCAAAAGCAGTGCTGCGGTGCTGTTGTGGCCATTCCGTGCAACTTCAAAGAGGGGCGTCGCACCACCCTGCGCATCATGGAAAGCATTCTCCACACCAGAGAGGGTTTGGCATGAAGGCTTTTAATGTCAGTCAGTGTGGGGCTGCAGGCTTGGAGCATAGCATGCTGGCCCCGCAGTGGCCAACACAAGCAACAGACCCCCTTGCGAAACAGGGAAACACTGCGCCGCATACCCTAATGGGCAAAAGGATGTGATGGATGGATTTCGAATCATGCTTCCACATGCGCATCGATGGCCCGTGAAGTGAAAGTACATAAGACCAGGTCTGACCTTCGTGGTGGCATCCACAGTTGCACCGTGCTCCAAAAGCAGTGCTGCGGTGCTGGTGTGGCCGCACTTTGCAGCAAAGAAGAGGGGCGTCTCACCGGCCTGCGCATCATGGAAAGCATTCTCCATACCAGAGAAGGTTTGACAGGAAAGCTTTCATTGCCAGTCAGCACTGTTTGTTACAATTGGAATGGCATTGCACTGGCCCCGCACAGGTAAAGACAACAGTTCTTTCCGAGATATTGGCAAGAACTGCATCTCAACTTGCAGCAATAGGCAGCTCGGAAGGCAACCCAACTCAGCACAGATGTTCGATGGACGGATCATGAACCATGCATCCACAATGTCTCTGGAACGCATTATAGGCAAGTTCTGCAAAAAATATCCTGTTTGCTGGCATGTGAAATCGGCTTGGAAGTGATCGGCCACTGTCAAATTGCCACACAAGTTTGTTGCGGCATCGAGTCCAACTGCCATCATGAACACCATAATCGATCTCCAAATACACTCGCCATCTTAACAAAATCAAGTTCATCGGAACAGCCTCCCAGAGCTGCACCAAAAGCATTGCACAGAAATACAGATGTATTAATGTCATTAGCGCAGCTAGTGATTGTACAGACACATCGCTACTGTTTGCTCTGTGGCCATTTTCTGCAACACCATCTGCCTGCCGCATGCTCAAATGCCTAAAAGGGTGTTGCTGTCAAACATTGCCTGCCTAGCTGGTCACCATAGACACAAGATGTTGTCATCCAAGGGCTGGGTTGCGAAATTGGTGCACAAGTAATCCCACCCTCCGCCCCCTCTGGCCGACATTTGTAGCACTCTTTTTGATCTTCCAATCAATGCAAAGCCTGATAAGGCCACTGTCATTCATGGAGGCAGCAAGTCAACAGGTAGGAATACCGTGGTGTGTATTATGTGCAATGTTGATTCTATGGCCAATCATCTGCAAGAAATATGCTGTCCTAGTGCCAGTATCACCACCAGCATCAATGCCGGGACGCGCCCAAGGCCCACCCGGTCCCGAAAATCCACATCCACTTCACTCAAGTGAAAGGTAGCCATCTTGTCCATGCCATGTTCAGCCGCCCAGTGGAGAGGAGTGCTCTGCAACACATACGCAGCATTCTCAGGAGCCACGAAATCCAAAATACTTCTGACGGTAAATCCGAAGCAGTTCCCCTGAGAGGGATCATCTGCAGTAAATCTGATGGTGAGAGAAGTCGGCCAGGAACTTTCAACTCACAAATATGACATTGTCCCCGCACAACACGCCAGCTCCATCTTGCTCCAGTGATACTTCGAGCTCATCAAAATGCTCTTTGCAGCCCTCGGGCACTTCACATCCTTCTGGAAGACCCAGAACCTCAAGGCACTCCAGGCTGCTTGCAAACTGTGGGAATGCCATGGGTTCAATCCCCTGAAGTCTCAATATCCTCAGCTTCAGGCAACAGGACCCAAGGGCACTGGGAAGGTCTGCCAGCTGCTTGCACTGCTGCAAATCCAGCTCCTCCAACTCAGCAAGGTTTGTTGTGCTGTCTGGCAATGCCGTCAAACTGCGGCAGTTGTGCAGAATCAGCACTCGTAGGTGCAACATTTGACCAATACTGCTCGGCAGGCATGTGAGCTGCCAGCAACCGCCAAAGTTCAGGTTAGCCAAACATGTCAAATCTCCAAAGTTTGGGGGCAACTGCTTCAGACCCACACAACCTCTCAAGTCCAACATGGTCAACCTCTGCCATTTTCTCATATCAGGTAGGTAGAAATGGGCGATTCCACATTCTGGCATCAGAAGCTTGGACAGCTTGGTCAGGCTTCCCATAGACTCGGGAAGTTCATAGATGCCCCTGCAACCCCTCATGGACAGCACCCTGAGCTCCACCATTGCACCCATTTCACTTGGAAGATATGTCAGCCCCCTACAATCATCCACTCTGAGCAGCTGCAGCGATTTCAGACATGACACTTGTGGTGGCAGCTCAGTGATGCCTGAGGACGTCAGGTCAATTGCCAACAAATGGGCAGTCAAGATGGAAGGAGGCAGCCATGGCACTCCTGCATCTCGCAGCACAACAGCCTGCAGTTTTGGCATGTCCAGATCGCGCAAAACCCTCTGTTGGTCCATCGTGATCTTTTGACTGGCAGAAAATCTCTTTGCCATCAATGCCGTGCCCCTGCCAATGGTGTCTCTCAACTGCGATGACACCAACCTCTCGTTTTGCAGCATGGAAGGAATGGCGATGAGCCTGAGAGCACCTTCGCGGACCACATCGTGCAAGTATTACCCCAAACCAAATAGCTCATCATACCATGTGTGAGAGGGCTGCAGTTCTGGTACATTGTAAGTATCTTTTCCTTCCTTTTTGATCAATGCCCTGTCCTCCAAGTCCCTCAGCACCTGACATGCTGCTTGTTCATCAGGACACGATCCGAGGCACGTCTCCAATTCTGCCACGTCCGTAGCTCGGGCATGGTGATCTTCAGGCAACATCGCCAGATCCAACAGCACTTCCCGATGGACAACATCCACACTGTTGAAACTCAGCTCAAACACATGGTCAAACACGCTCTTCTTGACCATTGAGCTTGCTGTCAGTATTTGCACAGCATTTTGCCACTGTGCTCGCTCTTCAAAACTTCTGGCCAACTTCCCCATAATCTCCAACGTGAGGGGAAGGCCTGCACATTTTTCGATGATTTCTTGTACATGCTTCTCTTGCCATTTTTGGGGCATGCCGCCATCAAAGGCGTGCTTGCAGAACAGCTGATGCGACTGTGCCTCATCTAAAGGCGTCACATCATGGCACTTGGCACCCACAATATGTGCAACCTTGTCATTTCGTGATGTTATGAGCACCCGGCTATTTGGAGATGCAACATCGAGGTGGACCACGTCAGATTCATCCCAGGTGTCATCCAAAACAAGACAAAAAGATTTGTCTTGCAATGCAGCTTCCAACCGCCGCTTTCCATCCTCGACATTGACAAAATCCGCTTTGCCTCCCAGCAGGGCCTCCCAAATTCGCCTTTGGCAGTCCAGGAGGTCTGGGTTCTGTGAAACTACCACAAACGCCATGCCAAGACACTTGGTATCTTCATTTTTCTTGAATCTTTTCTGCACATCTGGATCATTCACCACACACATTGCTAGGGTGGTCTTGCCCACTCCACCAATCCCAACCAGAGCAACATACTTGGTATTGCCGCTGAGAATCAGCTTCTTGATCACAGATGTCTGTTGCTCATGACCGATGGAGTATGGGCGAACCGGAATGTAAGATGGTGCACCACATGTATTGCCCTCATTTCGCATTACTGACTCAACTGTCCACACAGCAATGCGTCAATCAATAGTGAAACCACACTTGCCATTGGCCATCAATCGTTGGTTCCTAAATGCAACATATACCTGGCAGATCGGGTGCAAGCTGTCACAACGCTTTGCATGGTCGCCTGCAGTACTGACAATCAGAACCGAATACAACAACAAGATACTCTTGCACCAGGCACTAGCATGCCCACTGTTTGCCATTTACAGAGCAAGACGGAGCAACCAACATGTTTTAGGCAATTGTGACAGTCAGTGTTGGTCATGATGCCAGAAATGACTCCAGCAGCGTTGCAAGACGCAAATCTGTGAAGGTGGGTAGCAACAGCAGCCATTGCAACATTAACGATATCCTCTTGACCACTTCTTATTTTGAGATGCCCTGGTTGGCTACTTTGACAGAGCATATCTGCCCAGATTCTATACTTCTGCATCAAGTACTATGCTTACATGCACCAGCACCTGTGATCAATGTCACAACATGGCCAGCGCAATTGCCTACTCCGATTTTTATGAGATAATGAAACCACTCTCGTTGCACATTAATGCAGCCGCACAGCCTTCAAGAAGCATATCATGCGAGACACTGTCAAGTTGCTCAGAATGCGTTCTTACACATTCAACGCAGGTCAAAATGATATCAACAAGGACCAGAACTCCACTGCTGCAGTTCAAAACACACAGAGGGTGACCAAATCTGTGTCAAAAGCCACGCTGACACTCTTGTGCAAATGATTGGACAGTTGTGTAATGTGCTCAAAATGCAGCATGCCATTGTTGTTGCCCATTACCTGCTGTTGCCACTTGCTGTGGCATGACCTGCAGTAACTCATGCATGTCATGGACCTGGTGGAATGCCAGGCGCGACTCGCACTGTGAAACCAATTCTGCAACTGTTGCTGGACCTGACTTCCCCTTGAATATTCCATGCAGCATAATCCGCACATTTGACTGAAACTCGAAGCCTTCAAGCTGTCGTGCGCCCTCTTCGATCACCCCCATCAGCTCTGAGAGCTCTTCAAGGCGACTCTCTGGCTGCCGCTCCAAGCCTCCCTGCAACGTTTCCATGGTGTGTTGCGCGACACGCGCAAACCTAGAGAGTGCAGGGCGCAGGACATCAATGTCGGCCGTGATTCTGCCTGCCACCTCCAGGGCAAAGCCCAGCACCGAAAATGCCGGTCCCACAACAGGCAATCTGCCCAATACCTCCCCTGTCAGCTGTGCTGCAGTGTCCATCATGCCCACTGCAGACTGGGCCACTTCCAGATGGCCCATGCGAAGAGGCCACCCTGCCTGGTCGCGTTCCTGCAAGGAGCCAAGCCGATCCTGGCGTTCGGGGCCCTGGCCCCTCAGCAGTCCAATCCACGGACACACACGCCACCGAAGAGCGGCCACCCAGTGAGCCGCACGCTCAGGGGAGTCTGCTCTGAACACCTGCTTTTCGCCATCCAACTGCACCGTCCACGCGCGCTCTCCTTCCGTGTAGATGACTTCCGTCCGGCCTCTCACCAGCTCGATGTGGCCCCCCTTTCCCACCCAGGCCTTGGTGTCCCGGGGGAAGACGGCGCCGCCCTTGGCGCGGATCCATCTCAAATCCATACGAGCCAGCAGGTCGACAGGGTACCACCTACCAAACCGCGACCGCTTTTCCACGCGACCCGCGTCCGGGGACATCAATTTTCGCCGCAAATCATCCGCCAGTCGCTCCTCGGCCTGCGCGTGTATGCCACCGCCGGGTGGCGCCTCAGCCATGGCGCTGTTGTCACGACTCACAGAAATCGTGGTTCCACAGAAAGAGGGCGCCACGCAAGACGACGGTCAAACCTGCAGTCCGCAACCACACTGTTTGGATCAGATCCAAGTATCCGTCTCAAAGAGAAAATAACCGCCATTGCCATAGCCGTTCATGCGGAGGTGTGCAGTGAGGCAAGGTAAGCCGCGAGATCAAAGCGAAGAAACTGTGTTTGCACAACGCTCCAGAGCGCTCGGAGGGCTGAAAGAACTCTGCCGCTGGCGGTCAACAGTTCTGGACCCCAAGGACAAAAGTAGACACAAGGCCGACTTTGGGTGAGCCGCCTTTGCTGCGGCGCGGAGCGCGCCGGGAGGGGACCCATTTTCCAAACGCTGAGCCAACGCCCCACACCCAGGGCCACGACGAGAGATTCGCCAGTCCTCAGCTGCGCGCAACATCCACTGCGGGACTCTGACCTCCCAACCCCGGCAAGGGAGCCTCTGCGTCAGCAGCATCCGGAACACTCCCTCCAGGTCCCCAGCCCAGCCAATCTACATAAAGGACACACTACCCCACCCATCGCCTCGTGCCCTCGGAGCACGAGCCATGCGACCGACGGCCACACCCATGGCTGATTTCGTAAACCCACAACCGCCAATCTGGACATCTCAACCACCGATCCAAGACCGTCAAACCCCTGGTCAGCGCCCCTCCATGGAGGGTAGGTGGCCACCTACCCTCCTTCCACCAGCCGGATCCGATGGACAAAAGGTTCAAAAGGGCACAGCGCCCTTCTGGCCAACGCGTGGCAAGTTTCCGAGCCCCGTGGCGTTTGCTGCGCCCGGGCCCTGCGGCCCTTGGTGGCACGCCCTCCCGGCGCCGCGACCCCTCCTCTGTCGGAAGGCAGGGGTGGCTTCGACGCGAAGCGCATGCGCATGACACATGCCAGGTACGGCTTATGATATAGCGGGCGCGACATTATGCTGTTGATTTGGAGCCATCCTGAGTCGAGACACGCATGGCAAGTCCGTCAAAACCCACCCCAAGCAACATCCTCGGAGCGCCATCGTGCGCGGGACCAGCCGTTCAAATACAAGATCTGTTCGCCTTTTCTTGATGCCCTCGAGATCTATGGATGCTGTCAAGCACTAAAGGACGAGATTCCAGCCGCGTCAAACGTCAAGGCCAACGTACCAACCTCATTAAATTCAATCATGTCAACGTCACCAGCCTGAGACAAAATACGCACCCAACACTTGCTTTGTTCCAGTGCTGACGTCAGCCGGCGTCGATGCCAGGTTGAAATTAGGATGGGGTAATGAGGGTGTTCCCGAAATGGACCGCTGATGTAGAGTCGGAGACGCTGATGAAGAGCCCAGACATTTTGAAAGCACAACCACCAAATGCTAAGCCGTCACTGTCTCCGTCAGCGTCTCCGTATGCGTGGTCTGTACAGGGAAACTAAAAGTTGGATACACCCAGCCCTAACGCCCAACCGCACCATAGTGGCGCATCCTCGTATCTGTGGTCTGTATCGGAAACATTGTGACGGTAACAAAACCCCAAATCTGATATAACAGTGGGAGTGGACGCTCGAGGTGCAGGTATGCAGCGCCCCATGCAGATCGACATGTCCAGGTACTGTGCTCGTGCACCCCAGCGAATTCGATCATCGACCCAGTACTCTACCAGTCGGGCATGAGGCCGGCGCGGCACACACATAGCCTCGATTGAGGTTCCTCGTTGCTGGAGAAAGTGCACAAAGGAAGTACGTCACTTGCAGCTCCTAGGGGCTGAAAGCGACGGTGGTTACTGATGATATGTGTTAAAATAGGCGATTGTGAAAAGTGCGTTTGAAGATGGAATCCTGCGTGGATGACGTCTTGCAGCAACCGAGTGACAGTGAGTGATAGTGAGAGTCTTGCATACTCTTTGTCTTTACCTTGCCTGATTGTTGTTGAACATTTGCCTGCATGTAAACATCCTCTCCTTTGCATCAAATCCAGGACATGGCCGAGGATTTCACACTGGGACAACTGCGCCGCTTTTGTGAACCGAGAACCCAAGGCTGCCGATGTTTTTCAGTTACAATAGTATGAAAAAATGTCAACGTGCCACCAATGACCTGGTAGCACAAACATGTACTGATCTTGAATATCCATGTCATCTACAGTTTAGCTAAGCACCAGAAGGAGAAAAAACATATACGTTCATTTCCCACGTTCAGCTCATTCGTCCGGGTCAAATGGGATAATCCGACCAAACACCTAGTGGCAGCTCCACCTGGGGAGTGGACGGGGTGTGTCCAATGTAGGGTGCCTGGTTGAGCTTCGACGCCTCTGTCGACTTCCTGCCATGAGTGAAAATGAATGAACTGCTATTCATTGTGTTGGTTTGTTTTGTTCGTGCAAAGCAGCTACACGGCCCAGCATGTTGGGCGCGTGCACATCTACTTTGTGTGGTGAATGCTGTGTCTACACCTGAGCAATACGGCATAGTACACGTTTTGTGAATGTACCATTTAGCTGCCTCAACGCATGCGCTTGGTCAGTTTTCTGTCACCTCCAACCATCAAAATCGCATCAGCGTCGTACCGGAAGCAACCCCTTTTGCCTCGCCTTCGACAAGCCCCGCCAACCCCCGGCTCCCACCTGCAACGTCCAAGGAGGTTGCGCCTTTTCTTCTCAGTTCTTAGTGGCAGAATGGTTAATCATGCTAGAAGACCCTGGACCAGCCAAGGGGAGACCTGGGGAGCTGAAAATGTTGGCCAATGACATTCCATGTTTCTCCCACCCTGAAGCCCTGTAAAATACGTTTAAGGCACCGTAACTACGGCAAAATACATAAGCACATTTCTGCGTTTAATACCGCAGCCGGTAGCCACGCCCAGTAAAAATGCATAAGCAGGTTGCATTAACGCAAGTGGCATGAGTCCAATTTTCATACCACTGCCTCTTCTAGGACGCCTCAACACAGCATATACTGGGTATGTCCACCTTGCCTCAATATGCCTGAGATCACCAATATAGCTCATATTTCTGCCGTTATCAAGCTGGCCGACACTGCGATGACCGGTGGTTTGCATGTATTGAACGCTGGACCCACCCCCAACCCACCCCCTCGCGCTTGCCGCGCGGCATTGTTAGCGAGGGCCACAATCAATAAGAAAATGCAATGCCGTCCCGAGAAGTAGGTTCACATGGCTCATAAATGCCCATGAATACGTGCAGATGTGGAGAATACTTAAACACGCATGAATGCACGTACTGGCAAATACGGTGTGTGCGCCAGCGGCTTCTGATTCGCCTTAGCTCCTGTGACCAAGTCGGTGGACCCGCAAGGCTGCACGAGGAGCAGCGCGGAGTCGTTGAAGGTGCCTTCGGCGCCTTGGCTGCGACTAGGCAAACCTTGGGCCACTGCCAATCTCACAGTCCTCTTGCAGGGCCGCGCAGAAATTTGTGCTACATGACAGGTTTGGTATATACACCGTAAAAGCAAATCGTTTTTGCGTTTTTATGAGTAAAATTTACGTCTTTATGCATAAATGCACGTAAAATACCTAAATACAACCTAAAAATAACCAGTTGTACATAAGGACAGTACATACAGATCTGTGGAGTCCGGGCAGTGGCATTCAGACGCGATGGAATGGAAAAAAGCCGAATATTTTTTCCATGCCGTCGTTGCCCTTGCCGAGGGCGAGGTGGGCACTTCGTTGCTATTGCTGGAGATGGGGAAGGACCGATCACTGCACGCGAATTTCATCGTGTAATTTGGGTGTCCTAACGAGCCGCCTAAACGTGAAAATAGTCGAATTTACGTTTTTGCGCACAAAGCGCAAACACAAAATCGTAAACGTAAACGCAAATATCAAGCGTGCTGCATGGAATGTGTCTCGCCACCAGGTTGGCGTGAGAAAGCGAGTGTACATTTCGGTGGGGGAGGGATAAGGACCCACAAACTCAAGCAACTCTGGCCAATGCGAGATGCATTGCAATCACCCAGAGACACAAAGCGTCGTTAACGACGACTCGTTGTGCGGCCATTGACTTGGAGCTTTTCTGCGATCAGTGGGTGATAGAATTCGCTTCACCCAGGCCAGCGAGCTCATTAGCGAATAGCGTGCCCTCCTTTCCCTTGGCATGCAGACAATTTCTTTTGTTTTGTGGGGGGGAGCTTTTGGGAATCGAAGTCAGCTGCGACCGCCATTAGAGGCGTGTTTTGCAATATGAGTGGGCCTGGACGTGCCCTTCATACACTGGATGGTACCCTACATTGATCGATGCCGTGACGTCATGTCGATGCATCCATGTGAGGAAGAAGCAAGCAAACAGACAGACCCCTGGCTCATGATCCCCCTCAACTCGCCATGGCTGGCGTCGCGGTTCACGCTATATCACGTCTCACCGTCCTGTGGGTCACAGAGGGCATGTCTCAAAACCAGAGGGCGGGCGTTCAGCAAGCAAGCTATCGAGATTAGCGATAAAATATCACATACTGTATTCGCTAGCGCACAGGCCGGCCGTAGTAGGTGGGTGCCCGCCACATCGTGGCGATCCAGCGATTCATGACAAATCTGTGCACGGGAAACGCTCAGATAGTGGTCACGCAAATATGCCATTGAAGTTACTATTTAATGGGAAAATGGCAAGTGGAAGTAGGGTTGCAAGCAAAGTTTTTTCTGATGACATCTGCTCATTGTGCCTGTTGTTTTGGTGCTAAAATCCTTCATAGCTGGCGCCTTGCAAGAAGGGAGTGGCAAACGAGCTTTCCATTCTCTTTTACTATGTCCTACTTGCATATTTTTGAAGACATGCATGCACGCAAATACACACACATAATCATCTTGCATCAATTGTAGAGCCCGGGGGAGGAAACAACGTTGCTTTTGTGAAACAAGAATCGTAGGCTACCCATGTGTTCAAATTATCATCGAACATTGGTCGAAAATGCATACATGCGTTTTATTCTAATTCGATTTAATGCACGTGTTAGTTCTTATAATATACGGCATTTTGAA